TCTTATGATCATCAGGACGTTGAAGCCGTGTGCCGTTCTCATTTCTCTCTGTAGTAACTGTCAGGTAGTCAGAACGACTAACCTCATAGCAATACCGGTTTGCAAATAGAGAAGAGTAAGAGCCTGCAGATGATTGGACCGGAGAGGAGGAGTCGGACCCAGGACAAGTCCAATATGAGAGACAGCTAGAGTTCTGATTACAGCCAACATATGTATCAGTCCAGGTTCAATTCTTGTTTTGAACAAAAATCTTAATGATCCATCGAAGAGCACAGAGGTAAGCGGAATGTAGGATTCGCATACTCGGGATAGAAAATGATGCTGAACTCTCCACGAAGCACTGGATATTCATCATCATAGCAGGTTTCCAGTACACAGCAGCGTGAAATATTTTCCTACAGTGTGTGGAGCTTCCGTTTTCCGAATTGCACCAATTTCCCACACGTATTTCAAACTCCTTTAACCAGTTTTTATTTGTAAAATAGCGCTAGACACATAACAAAAATCTAAATTCAAGTAAACTTTTCATTGCTCATGTACGTATCTACAATGCTGTCAATGGAATTCAGCTTTTAGGGTTGTGCTTCCGTTCAGAAATTTCTGAAAATCAACAAGGTTGAAACCTTAAATTGTGAAGAATTCAATGGAATCCAGCAGTTTAAACATCATGTAGAAGAAAAAAATGTTAAACATCATGTTAAAAAAATATCAATTTATTGCTTGATAGAAAATGGAGCCCAAAATAGATTCTACGTTTCTTCCGAGAATATATTATTTCATGTTAGACGGAATAAATTCAGTAGCTATCATCCCTCGCATGTAATGGGTATGGACATCAAGGATTCTCTGAATTGCTGGCTGCAGTTATTATACGATTATTCCTCTTCTATCTAGTCAAATTACTATCGCACTGCACAGATTCCACTGCTTATTACATTTAATCAGGCAAATGATGGTGCAATCTTTGTTTAAAACAAACTGAAGTTTGTCTTTGATCTGGTCTAGAGAAATAGACTAAGCATTCGATCTGCACCCTGCGACATGACTGGGAGCAGAATGTTCATCGCGCGCCAAATAAAGTGGATGCTGGATGCCTTGAATGACCAGAAACAACCGTGGAACACATCTTGTAGTGGGCATGGGCATAAAAATCCGCAAAATGATGTCCATCATTTTTATCCTGGAGTCCCTCCATGGAAATTTCAGGTGTTTGAGACCGGTGGGCACTCCTCTGCTCAAAGTGAATAGTCCACATCCGACCAGACTGATGAACATGGCCACGAAACTTCAGGAAGTACAATCAATCTTGTACGTGCTGAGGACAGAGAGTTTCATCTGGAAGATGAGAGATGGGTTCCTGCGTTGTCAGACCGTGCTAGGAGTGGAACGGGGAAAGATTAAGATGAAGGAGCTGGAGACGGTGATTTAGATGGAGGAGAACGGGGGACAGAAGGAGGAGTTGGAATGTGAGTGGGAAGAGGTGGAAGCGTGGGAATGTGAGTAGGACGAGGTGGAAGCGATGGAAGATGAGCAGGAAGAGGTGGAAGAGTAGGAAGAGAAGGCAGGTTTGGAATATGAGCAGGACGAGGTGGAAGAGTTGGGAGCGGAGGCAGCGATGGAAGATGAGAAGGAAGAGTTGGGAGAGGAGGCAGCGATGGAAGCTGAGTAGAAAGAGTTGGGAGAGGAGGCAGTGTTGGAAGCTGGATAGAAAGAGTTGGGAGAGGAGGCAGCGTTGGAAAATCAAGAATCATACGAGCTCCCATGACAGAAGGTAAACATACTGCCGTAAACCAGATGAAACACATGAGTTTCACTGGAAACTCCCTCAGTGATCTGTACGTACTCTTCATCTTGACAGAATGCTCGACTGGATCTGTCCTTTGAAATGGAAACCTTTCTTTTTCGAGTTGCTTCCTGCTCTGGAAGTTGATTCTTGCTCTCTTTTGCTGCTGACGAATATGGTGAATGTAAGAAATTTATAAGGGCCGGATTGGGAGTCAGATCTATGAATACATTATGGCAGGTGTGATATGAGAGTCAGGCAGGTGGAGAGCTCAGTAGTAAGTGAGAGTATAATGATACACGTGATCTGGAAGTCAGGGCGGTTTGGAGTTCGGTAGGAAGTTACATATTCTTCCTTAAAATAAATACTACTCTTTCGGAATTCTAGTGCTTGAATCTGCCAAACAAAGTGATGAACTTTCAGAAGTCATGCTGGACCATCAAATTTATATTGCCTAAGCGTCGTTGAGTTTTTGCAGTATTATCTGACGTCAATTATCACGTTTTTCATGTGATCACATGTTTGATGCCAGAAAATAGTCAGCTCACCTATAAAAGGAAAACTCTTTCTTCTGTCGCCCTCATGTAACAAAGAAAATTATGACCAACCCCATGGAATATCCGAGACTTCCAGAAATATGATCCAGACTTTCAGGAATATGCGATATGTATCTATGTTAGAGAAGATGAGCTTCAACGTCAATATATTCAAGTATGAATGGAGAAAAACTGCGACCTAGATTGTTTTTCTTTGGTGATTGTGGGTAATCTGGAATGTTAGTTAGAGTCGTAAGGTAATCAGTATACTGTATTATAATTTTAACACGATATTCCAATGCTTTGTCAAAAAATGTGTTTGATTTGCACGATATTACAAATATATTCAGATAATGTACTCCTGTTTAATGCATGCTAAATTTCAATAATATTATGTATTCATACTCAATTAGATTTAAAAAAAAAAATTATTTTACAAAACAATGAGTCATTGATGTATTCAACATTAGAAATTTAATGTAATCTTGCTATTGACTTTGTATATTAAATTTAGACTTCCTTCTTGTATGAAATATCATTATAATTGCATGAAAAAAAATCTCAGAACAAATTAAGGTTTTTATTTATCCTACTTAAATAAAATCATAATGTTGAAATTTTCATAATATTATACCTCAGCGGTACTTCCGCTGACGTATTATATTATAAAAATTTCATTCTTCCGCTCTTCTATGCTTCAAGCGTTCTTTACCATTCTTCGCCAATTTTGAAAAAATTCTTAGAACTGGGTTCGTAAGGAGATAAACTTAAAAGAGTGAACAAAGTAAAGGGGAGATTATTCCACCTACACCCTTCTTACCTAGAGAGCTGGGGTCAACTTTAAAGAGATCAACGTCATAAACGGGAGTAGGTGAGACTAGAACTCCTGAGGGTTCCAGTCCTCTACTGCCGTTTGTGTTCATATTTTCGACGTGATAGTTAAAAATCACACTGCGACTTTAATCTTTTCACTAAGTAATAAGCATGGAAGTTTATGATGTTGATCAAATATGAGCTTTCTAGTGTTGTGCATATAACACGGTAAATGCGGAAGGTCCTCCTGATTGGAGGAATCACGAACATCAATACATGATTTAATGTACAACTGTAGCCAGGGCTATGTTGCTCTTTGATACACATTGGAGAGTGTAGAGTAACAAGACAGAACACAAGCCTGCATGTTTCAAATGCTTGCATTACACAAGTTCATTGTGCTTCTATTATCCTGACGTCACAACCAGCGTATACTGCGCAGTCGTTGTAACTCGTGCATATAGACGGAAAAATATACAACTCGTCCGACTTCTTCTGGATTTCTATATGTCGCTTCATCCGATAATTGAATCATTCTGACACACAGTTTTATAGTTAGATAGAATGTGAGACATCTTTCGCCAACCTCAGTACAATAAGAACTTGATAAAGAAAACAGCATCCTAAAACATCGGCGACTTATGTATGATGTTAAAACTTATCACTATTTTCAAATCAATTTTTTTCAAAATAAGATTTAGGATGTATGCAAAGAGAAAAAGATTAAGGCTACCATTTTTCAAATGAAATAATTTTGGATATTAACGGAAAGTATTTATCTATTTATTTTGCAACAACAGAAATGTGGGTTGTTTACAAATCTTAGATGAAAGATGTAATTGATCAATACGATTTACAGAATAAGAGAATTAAATTAACAATCAATTTATGATCTTTAAAATAACCCATATATAGGATCAAGTAATGAATTTAATGAAATAATTAAGAAAACTGGAATTGATATCATTATGTGAATATAATAATGATTTGATGATTATTGTTTTACGAATGAATGGATAAGACATTTATAAAATGCAACAAGATTCAAAAATAAACTTATCTGTATTTTTAAAAGTCTTTACAATACTCCAATTTTAAGAAATTTTTTGACCAAAAATTTATGAGTTCAAGTATGGATGGTATATAATAAACAATAAATTTTAACATGTGAGTTCAAAATCAAGTTGCAAAATTTTGCACATTTCGATAGATTTAAGACTATACTGGTTAACTTTGGTTAAGGAGTAAATTCTGGACCTAGTTATTTATAGCTAAAATGTTGCATGGACTAGTGATTAAATACCCTCGGTTCTGCCTTGTACATTCAATGGTTCTCGACATACCTTGAATAAAAAGTGTATCGGTGTTCATGGTAGACGTAACCCTTGAATAAGGTTCTATGTGTGACTCTTGAGTTGTTAGCTTGCTCAGTGTATTCTCTAGTTTTACCAGCAAAATTGCTATCACAGCAGGTTTTTGGTTTGGAGTATATCGTTACTAAGTAGTTTTCACTTTGTGTCTATTAAAAGTTTTTTAGATTCTGTTGAAGTTTTGTATGAGACTACTAAGGTGAATCCTAACGGGTTACATTTTTTTTGATAGTTTTTTTCTGTGACAATTTGTCAACGGTTTTCTAAACAATGATTTGTTAGAAAATTTTCAGAGAAAATTTTGTAGACGATCTTTTGGACGATGATTTGTTCGACAATTTTCAAAAGAGTTTCAGACTAGTGACTTTTTTTTTGACAATGTTGGAGTGACGAGCGCTCAGATTCTTTGAATTTTTATTTTTCACTAGTTGAAATTATAGCGAGAGAATACGAATTAAATTTCTCGGGGTTGGCCATGGAGATGAATGGATCTGACAGATAGACTCACGGTCTGAAACTACCTGGAGCAATGGACAGGCGGCAATGATGGCGAATCAGTCTAACAGCAAGAGCACGCACTTGACTTGAAGTGTCATGCGTGGAATGTTAACTGAGGGAACCAAGCAGAGCTCGGAATTGCGAGTGATGACAGTGCTTAGCGGCACCATTGCATGGAGTTATTGCTCACAGGACTTAGAGCACGCAAGGGTGTGGTAATCAATATATGATTATGATTTGGAAGCAGATTGGAATCAACCAAAACCATTTCCAGGCATCAGAGTGAAGGACGGCGATTGGCTTCGTGTAAAGGACTGGAGGCAGTAAGAAGTATCAGATGAGAATTCAAGATTGGGAGCCCATCAAGCAAGCCAAGGAAAGCGTGAAGGAAAGTTTGAAGGAGTTGGAATCTACAACTGCTACTAGCGAAACTCCGACTGAATTTTTTGAGAATGTCAAGAAAATTGAGGTTTTTGAGAATGTGAAGAATCTGAAGCTTATTCCGATAAAGTCATCAGCGTTTGACGCCAAGACCGAATTTGAGAATGACGTTGCTTCCTTGTATGTGAAGGAATTGCTGGTAAATCTCGTTAGGCAGTCTGAATCTTGGCTTGACCAGTTTGATGTAAAGAAAGCTGTTTCAGAAAAGCTTTGCGAAGCTCTTAGGATTTATTAGCGCAAGGAGCAGCCAGTCGCGCTTAATAGTGATAGCCGAGAAATTCAACCAGCAACAAAGCAGTCGTGAATAGTGTGGATGACTTAGACCTGCAAATTGCTAGTGTTGTTCTAAGCACTGGTTATCGATATAAAGGAGGCTTGTTCGGGAAGCAAGCCGTTGCAATGGACTAGATGAATGACCAAAGGGAGGAATCTGATCTGTAAAAATACACGGACAAGGAAGTGAGATCTACATGGCTCTTCAAGCAACCACATTTTCAGCACATCTGGCAGAAAGATCAGAGCTTGCAAAAGCAATGATAAACGCTAATTCTTCCAGAAAAGAAAAGAGAGTCTCTTCCATCAACAGTCCCTCGTTCAAAGACATGTGGAGAACTGCACGTCTTGGCATTGAATTTGCTATTACGGGCCGGTTTGACGGCCTGAAGGGATCAGAAGCACTCAGATCCTTGCACAGAAGGCGGCGAATCCTGCATTGCCTGGATTATCACCTCACAAACCCTCGCGATACTTTATAAATAAAAAGCACTATTCATGAACATAACAATTTGATTTGTGCTTGTCACTCCAAAAACATTGTAAAAAAAACGATCACGGGTCATAAACTCTTTTGAAAATTGTCGAACACATCATCATTCAGAAGACACTCTCAAAAATTTCTTTGAATATTGATGAATTGGTGAAATTATCAATATTGACATGTATAATGTCGATGAAGCAATCACTTAGGTTCTGAAAATGATTATTTTTTATGTTGGACATGATTTTTTTGCAAATTTATTTTCTTCATCATAGTTAATGAAATAAGTGATAAGTTAAAAATAGAATGATATTCTATAAATTTTGAATTATCCCGAAAAAATGATGATCCAAAAAGAAACAGGTAAAAAATAGGCTAAAACATTAATATGCATATATTAGGAGAAATCAATACACTCCAGTATGAACCATAATCAAATGTGCGAACAACTAATGAAACAAATACCTGTTTCCTGGAAGATCTAAGTCTTCACAAGAGTATACATTTTGTAATATGGCTATATATATATCATTTTCTTTTTAACAAAATTGTGTTAGAATAGATATGCATTTTATAATTAGTAAAGACATAGATAATTATATTTTTAATTATTTTGAACATAAGGTACTAAAATTTCATTTAATAAAAAAAAAACTTTGATTGAAGAACGCGAATTTAAAAACGTTTAATATTTAAACTTATATTTAAAATGAAATAAATTTTTTTAATTAAAATAATTTGAAAAGTATTAAAATAAATTTGAAAACATTGTATGCACAAGTGAAAATATAGTTAAAATAAAGTGCAAGAAAGCAATGAATCAAAATAGCAAGCAAGATTACTAGTAAACCATATTGAAATCCACTTATAAACATTCCAAATCCCGGCTGAAGATTGCTAGTACGTTAACAATATTTCTATAACACAATTCTCAATTTTCTCAAATTAAAGATGCTCTTTAATTCACTACGAATTCTTAATCTATTGAACCTTCAAAATAGTGAATTTTTACACATGTATCATGAGATACACATTAATATGAATAATAATTTGTGAATAATTGACTATATTTGATCTTCAAACTTAGAATTTTCATGATAGAACTAATATTAAAATCTCATTCAACGTTGGTATTTAACACATAATTCAAGTAATTATATTTGTTTGGCTATCTACAAGACAGTTCTTTTTATAACATGACCTTTCGTATACATTCTTATATAGTTTGTGAAAATTGTAACAAAATTCACGTTGACTCACATTTATTTCCCTTTCAAAATCAGATTACCTCACTTCAGAACTCTGATTTGTTAAAGTAAATATTTTGTGTACAGAATCTCAATGAACATAATGAAATGTACGTTCAACATTTAGTTTGTACTTCACTTCCTATTTAGACATAACTCGATTGGTTTATTGCTGATAATTTACAATAATGGCGACTATTCTAGTCACAAAAATCCTTTGATTTTGAAATTCTTTGCGCACCTTAGAAGAATACAAGGAGAATTCCGTGAAGCTCAGGAGCAGTTCATAACTGAGGAACAGGCAATCCCGAATCTCGACTTGGTTGGGAAGTCAGAATCTTCTATGTGAAAGTAACTTGCGCGGTTTGCGGTATAGAGGTTCACATCATTTGGACATGGACCTGGACACACAGGTTGAGCTGATCCTCCTCCTCCCCTGGCATAAGCCAGGGTAAGTATTGGAGGATAAATCAATATCGGTCACAATTAAGGACTACTGCCCTCTTAGGTCGAGTGGAAAAGCTAATTAGACCAGTACAAGCAGCTACACCTAAATCGAACGGACATCCATCGGAAGCTTACTGTTCGAGTTGATTGCTATTCTCATCATGCACAAAAGAGATAAGCTGTAGCCCCTGTGTATGAGCGATTTAAAGTACGCCTTGGGCTTCAATATAGGAGAAAAGCAGGGGATCAACTGGTAAGAAGCACTTGACATATTCATGCTACACTCCTATAGTCACGTCAAAGACAAGAATACAAGACAAAACTTTATTGCTCTATACCTTCTCTTGAGATGTGCCTCGTTAGAACAACGATTGGCAGTCCAATTACTTTGTAGCCACAATTTCGTAAAACCCTGGGCTGATACTTGCAAAGTATAACATGTGATCAAACAAATCACACCTCATGACACGATATCGGATAGAATGTGCCCTGACGGTATGAATAACTAGGTGTTCACGCAACTAATTCATTCTCGCATATTCCTGATATGCTTGCATACCAGCGAGATTTTGACTAGTTTGATACTTACCACGAGGACAAAGTTTCCAATCCACTCCATGTCTCAATGCTTCTATGTCGGCCAACCGAATTTGATCCGAATTCAAATATACACTAAACACCTGCAAACATCTGCACGGTACGACAATGATAAAATCATTGTAAGAACTTGAGATATGTGATGCACATTAACTACTCATCTAAAGCAATGATGAGTAGTGATGATCCAAGAAGAAACAGGTAAAAAACAGGCTAAAACATGAATATGCATATATTAGGAGAAATCAATACACTCCAGTATAAACCCTAACCAAATGTGCCAACAACGACTGAAACAAATACCTACCGATGTTTCCTGGAAGATCTAAGTCTTCACAAGAGTATACAATTTGTAATATGGCTGATCTCTTCATCTTCCCCTAACTACCGACTCTTTCAAACAAACATCCATGGTCTGCTACTTGTTTTATGACAACAGTACTAAAATTATCAAAAAGAGTTCTTTAAAATTCAGGCCAAGGCTAAAGGCATTGAACAGTGAAGATGTGGCACTATTACATAGCAGCAGCAGGACAAATATTGCGGCTCATCACAGCTTCACGCTAAGAATGGTTGACTCTATGTATCTAACGCTAAATGAAGCGTTTCAAGTGGAGAATCGGCTCCACCTATGTGCTTCATCCTGACCTTGTATCAGCTCTCTTGTATGAGCAATCTATGGTTGAGTGGTACTCAGAATCAAGCTGCTTAAAATCAGGAAAGCCTAATCTCCGCTTCTACAATTCTCTAGGAAGATCACATCGATCTTAGCTCATCTTAGAGGATCTACTTCAGAAAGTTAGGTCGCAACATCAGTGCAATTCAACTGGAAAAAAAAAAACTTTCTCCGCAAAAGCCCTATAAGCTCAGTTTTTTTATAGCAATCACTTAATTCCACTTAATTGATTCTGGACATTTTACGCTAAAGATTACGGTTCTATGTATGCGTCTAGGATGACACAGTGACCTCTCCTAACAGAATGAGAGTTACCTTCATGATGTCTCCGAGCATTCCTTGAATACCAGTCTTGCGGCGCACGTTGAAAAATCGCTCCGCTATGTCATCCAAGTACTAAAACAGAAAAAGGAAGGAAGTTATTGTTAAACTTTAGGCCAATAGACGAAAATAAAACTTCATTTTGTTCAAGGCATACAACCAGTATTCGCACGACTGACTCCAAAAGAAATTACCTCATCAAAGGTTGGGTCCCGTTCAATGCTAAGTTTGTAATTTTGTCTTAACATCCGAAACAGTGGTAGAGCATCTCTTTCGAGGCTGAAAATCATGTGAAATCAATGGTTAGAGAATTTATAACGTATAGGATATATTAATTGTGCAATTGAGGCATTTACTGAAAAAAAGTGATAAGTACTGTCAAATTACAGGCTCCAGGTTAGAAGAGACCCTTGCTTTACAACAAAAAAACACCATATCACGTTTAGTAATGTATAATAATGTGTTCATTCCAATAGGAAGATATTAACCATAGTGAAAAGCTTACTCACGTTTGTAGAAGGAATTTTATAAAATGCAATAAAGGTGTATCAGGGAGCTTGTCGGAACAAGCTTCCTTGACCTTGCTCCACAAAATATTTGCATCTCTCAGATTTCCCAAAGAGCAGTACCTGAGACCAAAACATAATATAATTTTACACAACTTATACTCCACAATAAGCGAAAGAATGTTAAATTTCATGATAAGATATCGTAACTTGACTAGGTAACTGGTCTATCCGCAGTATTGTTTGCAAAGAAGATATGATGCTACTCTCAATCCATTTGAGGCCTCTGAACCAAGGTCACATCGGATAGATTGGATCAGACCATTACGTATTTATTAACTTACTGTAAGATGGCTCTTGCAACCACTAGATCAGCTTCACCTTGATAGCACTGTAAACAAATACATAAACTCAAATTATTTAGAATTGTAACCCATCATCAGAAGAACAATAACAATAGACTGTCAACCATGTAGAGATGATCAGAAAGAACGAGGTATTCCTCATATTAAAAAGTCGTTTGCAAAATACACACGTCCTCCACAACACGACCCTGTACAATAAGGGAGATCAAGATGAGCTCCCTTCTCAAAGAAAAATCTTTTGCTTACCTTGCTCATACAGTCTACTACGGCTGAAGCAAAAGCTTCAGGACAATTTCCACGTAGAAAATGTATTGATGCTTTTCCCAATTCCTGCACAGGCAATTCTGCTTGAGTTTACTTCACGCTGACATACAACTTGGTAAACTTCGAATCGGCATGCAGATAATCAAATTCCACACACATAAATCTGTTGGATGTTACTATGAAAAGATAAAAACAAAGAATACAAAACTCATAGTCTAGAATCAACTCACAGGAACAGGCGACTGTGTCCATATGTACTCAGCCAACATCTTATGAAGTTCAGGTGCTCCTTTACTTTGCCCACCGCTTTCGATTGACCACCTGGTTCCAAAAAGAGCAAATGAAAGTCTTAAATTCATGAAGTTCATGATCAGATCCACAAGACCTCTCTTAACGAGAATTTGATGTGGCACTGTATCGAAGTAAATCCAAAAGCAATCGGAATAAACTGAGTACGTAACTTCATTCTCCCTATAGCTTATGTAAAAACATTAGATTTTTGGTCTGTCCGACCAATTGTTGATGTTTTCACCAATGTCTCAATAATCAGCAACTTAAGGACAACTTTCGAAGAGGTCCAATTCGCCAAAATTGGCAATATCACCTGATAAAACTACTGCAGAACTGGGAGAGTAGCCGCCAATGGCCTAGAATTCTATGGCAAACGCGACGAAACAATTTATTAAAATATTAATGTAGACTACAAGAAGAGATTTAGTACTTGATCGCTGCTTTTAGGAAAGAAGAGCATCCTTCCACTCTGGTTCTGGCCTCGACTGTTTCTTCTGATATGCTTCCATCCTCAGAAACTGCTTTGATCTGCCCGACGTCCACCTTTGGGAACTCGTTGTATATGGCTATAATACGATCTGTATCACGACACCATGTTGAGTTGGATGCTGATCAGATCGACAAAACTATCATTCGGTTAGAAAGGGTATAGGATGTACCCTTCTATCCAATCTCGAGACAAGCTTTTAAAGTTGGAAAGAGAAACTAACCTAAGGCTGTGCTGGTATACGGCACACTTGCCTTCCCAAACGTTTCTATGAGCAACACGGCCAGCTCTGCCCCGCAAGTTACCTGCAGACCAAGTCGAGGTCACAGACATGAATGTCCCTGTTTGTACTGCAAGCGATTGACTTATTACATGTTACTGCTCAGTTTTGGAAAGTCCATTGATTGCAAAAAAAATTAGACTTAAAGGAATAAGTCCTTGCTTTAAGTCGCTCAGAGGGACGAACTACCCTAATCTAAAGTCAATTCGGAAAATATCATAGTGCAATTTCAGTTGCAGTGTGCACTCTTGGTTCAAAATGAAGAGCTAAACTTTAACCGTGACTGCAACCAAGGGAGCTATAATTAACTGCCTGTTGGTATTTCGACGTTTGAAGTCAATATTCTGACATAAGCTTACCCTGACAAACGGCGACTTATACCACAGCTTCATCGTCAAATTGAGCAAATCACAAATCAAAAATTGGTCGGACTCTTGTGAAACATATATAAAACAAGTAAAAGAAATAAATTTCTGAGACTTGACATGCTAATAGACTTAACAACATCTACCGCACTCCTGACAGCTCAGGTATGTTCAAGAAATGATGTGTAACTAACCATGCAGGCCAGGGAGTCACTTCTACTTCCAAAAGGATCAGGAAATCTCCTCTACTATGGATGCCTGCATCACGGACAATATGCAGTATCATGTCATGACGTTCTTAATACTGGGTCCTCAAAAACTAGGAGACTGCTAAAGATTAATCTAGCTGGAAGGGCGACAGCCCCAAAATGACAGACTTCCACCTGTTATATTCGTCGACTCCGTAAGATTCACTGTAATCACGAAGTGTACGAAATATTAAACAAAAATACACACTATACTTACTTAAAGTGACTTCTTCCAACATCAGTTGGTAGAGCGGTTTCAGGGTTGCAATTCTCGTCAAGGAGAAAGCCAAAAATTTTGTTTTCGTCAAGTAGTAGAGAGAAGATATAATAACAAATAATAAGGAGAGCTTGGGTTTATTGTTCAGTCCCTAAGTAACAAACGGTTCGGATTAAACTATCAAAAATGACACGATACCATTAAAAATACCTGTCCATGCTTCAGCTGGACACTGGCGCCAGCTTGCAAGAGTTCCATCGCTTCATCGTACTTTCGACCAGCCATGTATCTGCATCCAGAGAAGACTAACGATTGAGGAATTACATACAATCATATACAAACACTGTAGATGGGCAATAGAAGGAACATTTTCGAATTCTATGCTGAGAATTATGAGCACAATTCTGATCGTACCTTACCTGCATACATAATGAGTGATGAATATGATTTGTTTTAAATTTAGTACTCTCTTCCTAATAGTCTTGATTAACATTGTCTAAAGGCATACTTCATACCGGGCATAGACTGTCTTGTACGTCTGTTGAGCCTCATAATAATTTCCCGCTTCAACGCTCTTCTCTAGTCTTTGGAGAGTCTGAAAAAAATGAAAAACATTCATCGATTAGATTAGTTCTGAAGAAAGAGTATACATTGACTCATCGGTCACATAAGTGACTCAGAGCGACATATCATTGCCCCAAATACACATCATGTTTGCACACAAAGGCCGTTTGAACATTTACAGGCCGTCGCAGCACCATGGTGATTTGAGCAGTAGGAGAATTCAAATGATTATTGCAAAGTAAGGAATCCAAAATTGGTTAGATAACATGTTTGATCAGTAGAGTATACTAGCTGCTATTGGCATGACGAATGACTCTTTTGCATAAAGTATCGAGAGGTGTGGGCTGTCCACCTTTCCGGAGTTCGCACTAGAATCCCGCATTTCTCACAACTTTGCTCTTTCTGCCAGCCAGAAGAAAATAATCAGCTACGCGAATCCAAACAACATGTGATTCTGAACCAGTCCCTGTTTGCAAATTTCTCCAATTCGTCCAGAAACCTCAGACGAATCCAGAAAAGTCATCTGGAACGAAGATCGACCAGAAAGCCACAGGGACATCCTTAGAAAATGATTATTGCACTAGCTTTGCATCCTTCCATCCTCCATATCTGAAGCAAAAGAGCTAAATTTGCATGAAACTCTCCGACTGGAAACACCCATTGGGCATAACTGTCATCATCAAGGCGAATACACCACGGTAGCTCCCAACAGCCTAAAATTTAGCAAGTTCGTGAATTAGAAGTTTCATTCATTAGCCAGGCACATCAATTAGAGCATATTTTTCGGAAGTTTGTAAAGGCAATGAAGATAATGGGTCACCTGAAGTGCAAATTTCAATAATTCCGATCACTTTTGTGACCCCGATAAGCTCAATCGGCTTGTTCAAATTTCACTGTAAAATCAGGGAACTAAACCCTAATTTCTTCTCCAGGCTCCCGAAGCTCCAGAATCGCACCGAAAGCACAGAGTGTATGCACACAGGGCAAGGAGTGCTGGTCAGAGCTTTCTGGTACTCCAGCTTGCCACTGCCCAAGTATCAGCAGCAGGACGCCACGATCTGTCCGATTCTGATGTCGGGAAACAAGCTTAAGCACCCACGGCGGTCGAAGCACAAGTCATCCGGCACCACGGCAATCACATGCACCAAATCTCCCATGCATAGTGTGCATCGGATTGTCCCCTCGGCCACTTCTCCGGGGCATCCAGATTCTTCTACATCCACGCAAAATCCCCTTGAGCCTGGCGCCGCTGCGTTGTTTCCCCAACTTTTCTTCATGCTGTCCTTAAATGAAAGTTTAGCCAAAGGCGAGTCTTGATGCTTTACAGCTACTTGTCAACTTAACACACGATTTCTTGCCATGATTTGCATGCTCTCGCATTGGAAACCAGTCCAATAGTTCTTACGCCTTGAGTCTAATGCCATGTCATATTATTGTGTACCTGGAATATGTAACCATGTGTGAATAGCTACACTATTTTATTTCATGGTTCTAATGTGGCATCATCAGAATTAAAAGTCATTTCAAAAACCATATCTCAATAACAAAAACATTGAAGTACTATGATGAAATTTATGTTGGAGCTGGGATTATATAAATTTTTAAACTTAATTTTAGGGATAATAGTTATATTCTCATACACTATTATTGAGCTTCCGTTTTTTTTTTTTAAATGTGATCATATGACAAACAAATTTTAATAGCTAAAATAAACTACTTTTTTCTAAAACAAAAATTATATTCTAGGTTCATCATATAATGTTGAATTGTAGATAGAAAAAATTCACTTCAAGAATAAGATTTAGTACTATGATTCATTTAGCAATTCATACATCTAGAATATTATTACTGATTGCATCTTTGTATATATATCATATATAGGAATTTGATGCCAATACCCAACAAATAGTCAAATGAGCATATCCAAATTTATGATTTCATATGTATCACAGAATTTTACAAGGATATCCTACTATGTAATAATTTTTCAATGTATTGAAATGTTTTGTGGATGTCTATAAAAGCCACATATAAGATTATTAGTATAGAGACTTGATCATATGGTCATCATAGTGTTCTGGAATCTAATATAATCGAGCGCATATATTAGTGATTTATGACTTTGTTCATATTTATTGATAAATTTTGTAACATAAGTTAAATCTAACGAATGTTACAACAAATGTTAGCAAGGAATAATTTGCATATTCTTTTAGTTTTCATATAATAGTTATGATATTGTTAGTATTCATCATAATAACATCCAAAAAAAACCTTACCAACTTAGAAAATATATGGTTCATCACTATACACTACCTCGGAAATAACACACTAAAAGTTATTAAGAAATACTTCAATTTGTGTTTCTAAGAGGTTTGATCACATTTTTTCTATAATTTCTATAGGCTGACTGGCTAGTTTAACTAACTAAAATAAAACTAACTATAATTAACCAAGATATGACATAATTCCTAACAATACAACAGTTTATACATGTTTGCATCCCATACTATTATTGTGCAAAATAAATTATAATGGAATTTTGCAGAGAGTTTTATATGCAAGATACCTCTATCCATATATTTTTCTATGTATATATATATATATATATATATATACTACAATTGCTAATAAATTTATTGTGCTAATTATCAACAAATTGCAAAATAACATAAGATACTTCTAAAATTATCTTATGTAAAATCTTATCTTCATGATTTTTATCAATAAGTCAACTGGATTGAGTTTAGGTAAATCTTGACTGAGTCAATTTTCCTACAGTGAAATTTTATTTAAAAAAAAATACTATATGATGTTGATGTGAGTCATTTTATTATGCAATGTGTTTGTATTGGAATATGTAATGCATTAGCTATCACAATTAAGATATTTTAATCCTCATCTCATTGATAAGTCTATTTGATGAAATTGTACATTTTGCAACTTCTTCAAAATCATATATTAAACTTTAGTTTTCGCTTAAGCTATGTATTTATGTAATTAGATCACTAACTAATACATATATCATCAAATTCAAACTCAAACTCAAATATTGTTTAGTCATACAAGCTTAATTGGCTTAAGCAAAGCATAAGATTACTTTTACTTTAGTATTCAACTTGCATTAGTTGAATGGTAGAGCATGGCTAAAGCTTTGTGGATAGCTACGGACGTCTCTACTTAATATCTAAAAAAGAGTGTTAGCTCAAAAAATCATTATAGATCCCAATGTCAAGACCTATTTTGATCAAAATTACACTTGTTTATATCTTGTTCATAATCTACATTTACATAATCCAATTAACCTTTGGTAGTAAACCATGAAACCAATAATAAAAATCCTCATCTTTCTTTAGTTGACTCGAAATGCATGTGGTAAAGTCTCAATGTTACATTTTTCATGTTTGGCATATACTACTTATCTTATTCACGTGTAGCGTAATATCATGTCTGTCTACTTCCTTGTACTCTAAAATTGAAGACATATTTGATTTTAATATAATTGGATATTAGGTTGTTAAAAGTTTGAAATATTCTATTTAAGGTGTCGTGCAACATACACATATTCTACCAACATATATCACTATCATTATCATTTCAACAATAATCAAACCTAAAAAAGTACAAAGAATCATGTACATAATCAAGTGGATATACAATAATCAATGGCATACTCTGAAGTCAAACTCCAATAGAAATCCCAATGTTATATCTAGTCAATCCAACCCAACCTCTAACTCAATAAAGTATGTAAGTGCTTCGAAGTGGACTCACACACTAAAGCACATCAGTTATGGAAAAATCACTCAAAAAGGCTCAACTTCACCTAATGAGTCGTATTAGCCGTTGCATCCAAAATACATCTCACTTGGGCCACATGGTGGTCATGGAAACTATATAGCCCTAAACTCTCATAAAAAACTATTATAGTTGGTTGGATTTGACGGCGACAGTCACAATCTTAACTCAATTCAATTGCAAACCTAGCCATTGACATTGTTGTCATGCTATTGATTTGCAATACTTTGATATGCGATTATTTTAATTTGTATGAGGTCAAGATAATTACAAACCTAAACTAGAATGACCTAACAAAGGAGTTTAAACTATTTTAAGATTCATCATGTTGATTTGACTTAATTATAATTTTAATAAACAAATTTCTATGAAAATACAATCAAATATCATATTGAAATTATCTTAATTCTTAATGCTGAATACAAATTTCAATTTATTTTTGCATACATCAATGTTGAATTAAATCTGTTGACAAAAGAAGCATCTAATATACATAAAATATTATAATTATGACATTTAAAATCTTATAATCCATATATTTAATGTAAAAATGAATCACACACGTTTCATAAAAATCCTTGTGCTTCAATAAATGCATCAAATTTTTCATGTAATGTTTGAAAGCTTGATTCAATTGATATAATGATTTCAATAATCTAAAAACTATTTTTGTATAAGATTTTTGAAAAACAACTTATTGTATAATATACATTTTTCATGTTAGATATTTATAAAAAATTAATTACATTTATATCATACAAAATTATAATAAATATTGCAACAATGCTGTATAAAAACTGGAGTATACCTTATTTGTTAACAAGTAAACATTATTTTCTGTAATTTATATTTTTTTTATTAAACACTTTTTTTTATTTTTATTTTTTTATATCTAAATCAAACATTGTTCAACTTAAATAAGTTGTAAATATGTAAAAAATTTGTGTGAAAATAAATTACAAAAAAAATTTCATTGCTTATCTTCAAATGATATAAAATATAATTTTAAAAGATAAAACAAAATTTAATGAGTCTACTAACAAATTATTATGCATAGTCAAATAGCTCTTGAAACTAAGAATTCAAACATCAAATAATCTTCATTATGATGTTTGCACATGAGACAATATTCACAAAACTCAATTAACTTACAAAATAACCATATTTTATTGCCAAGGAAATCAAGTATTTAATTTTGTATGTTTTAGGCTAGAATTTCATATACTAATCATTTCAAATTTTCCTCTATTTGATTACATTACAAACTTTATTGGGTTTCATCATGCAGGAATTTTTATATTTGTGTCTTTTTAATAATGATAATATTATTTTTCATCTCAAGCAATTACCTTTGAATACTATGTTTAAGGTCATTTGAATCTAACATTTCAACAAAAGTTTTGTTGATAAATTTAATTATTATAGTAATTATCATTGATTAATTCATTAATAATAATGATTACAATAAATTTAAAATGATTTAAAATTTATACATCAACAATATTACTTGATAAATTGCATAAAGCATACCTATGTGTACTTTCAAGCAAATCATACTTTTGAAATAATCATTTTAGTCACATTGACTAAAATAATATTATTAGCTTTAATTTTTGTATGATAAGAATTGACTTTTGTCACAATTTCAACATTATACTTTTGTTTAAAGAATTTAGCATAGACTTGAATCCACCTTGAAATCTATAAATTTTATTGTTTTGTAAATAAGATCGTACTCAATTCATATTCAGTGTCATATTGTATCGATAGATGTAAAGAAATGACATCATCGACTATAAATCATAAATTAAGAAAGAAATTACAGTATATGTAAATGATTATTTGTCATGCATGATAAGGTAACACACCTGACGATAACTTTCAAGAATCATAGGTATATAATAAAATTTTTGAGATAGAGTTTTGGTTTGAACAAAGTATAACATTTATATATGCATTTAATTTAACTTGTATACCTTTCTTGAATATATAAATTCTTCTTTCATATGAATTACTAGATCATGAAGACATCAATCTGATTTTTTAACTTTTTGTCAAAATCATTCATTTAAAAGTTTGATAACTTCAAGATACAAAATGTTAGACAATGCTTTGCAATGTTATTGCAGCTAATAAATCTATGACAGCAGAGTATAATTGTCATACTTAAATAATTTTCTTATCATTAACATTTATAAATACAGAATAACAATATTTGCAACTCACAATGAGAAATATTTCTATTTGTTTCAGTTAAGATGAAAGATAAGAACCTAAACATCTTGTTCTAAATTTAAATATATTTTTAATTTGTCTTTTCAATACGAGAAAAATGATGTAAAATGAAAAATACGTGGTTCATCATTCAGGGATCACAATAGACGTTACTAAGAATAATTATAATTTGTATCTTTGAAAACTTCGATCATGTCTCATATGTAAGAAAAGATTAAATAGCTTAACTGGCCTGTTTTTAACTAACTAAAGTTTTCTAAGATCCCAATTGATTACTAAGAAATACATTATCAATAGTCTCTATATTATTATTTTATATATTGAATGATTCATATAATGAATTATATATGATCAGAACTTCAAATGCAAATGTTGGTTTAAAGAAGAATTGTTTGAATACTTTTATTATCTATAAAATTTTATGAAAGAAATTATTTGAAATTATTGTAAAATTGTTAATTACAATGATTTCATACATATAGAAAAGAACCTAATTTCATCAGATTAATAAAAAGAAATCAATCAAGAGTATCAATTATATTCGTGCACATATCTCATTACGTTGTCTTGAAATAACATTGTCATCTTAAGAGGGCTATTGTCGGTGATACTAAGATAATCAAGTTGGATCCAATGAACCATGCAATAGCAAACGAAAGCAAACGTGTCTAACAAGACATGTAAGTATGAATGATATTCATTATACCCATTCATCTTCAGCTTAACTATTTGTAATTGAGTCAATTGGAAGCATGACTGCTTGCCGAAAGATTATATATAAGACGGGGAGGGGGTAGATGTTTGTAAAAGATGATAATGCTCTTCATAGTCGTATCTTCAAACTATAACTCCTCAACAATATGCTTCTACCAGTATATGGTAAAAAAACTTTTCCATATGTTAAGTTTTGAGGAATCGGTATATCATGCAGAGGCCAACATTTTATTTTAAATGTGAACCCGACCATATTCGAGACCTATCCCCACCCATAGCATTACCTGTACCCACCCATGCTATTCAAATTACGCCAATTGTGTTATGTGTTTACCCGGTTACACCAATTCTTGGTTGGACGTGACAAACACTGCCCATAGCATAACTTGTGCCCACCCATGGAAAAATAATGTCACCCAAAACCCACGGGCTTGGGTTGGTTTGGGCACCCAATGTTGGGCTCTGATAGCACGTAAAGAGCCATCTTTGCGAGTTGCAGTCATAACGAGATAAAATGGGAGCACATGTCATAGGAATAACAAATCTGATCAGATTATGTTTTTCCTTCTAGAACATTCTGACATTGTGACCACAGTAACCGGTACTGCTTAAACACTTGGCCAGCATAACTGCTACCCTGGGAGTTCTTTCGCCACAGTTGAGGGCCAAGGAACCAGGTCTACATTTAGCCTCAACCAAGGTTCATGAATTTTAAATACGACCTGGATGACGTAGGCCGTAAGTCAATGCATCAGAGGTAAGATTCTGTTCACACACGATTTAGGAGTGAACCGGATCCAGATCCGGAAGAAGCCTTGGCTGGGGAACGCTTTTTAGGCCCCCTTCCCTACTCCCGAGTCCTGAGGTTTATCTTGAGAGAAATCTCAACAACGAACCCTTTCCAGTTTTGCACTTTCTCTCGAAGAAGTGCAGCAGTGGCTGGTGTGGAGCAGAGCTAATTCTTCGAGCAGCAATTTGTCGATCTTGTTCTAGAGAGAAAGGAAGAGATGGCGGCAGCGTCGTGCACAGCAGCTCTCTCGTCGTCCTGCGTAGTGCTGCATTCCAAAGATGCAGGAGCCGTGTCGAGAAATGGAGCAATGCAGCAGCAAATTAGGTCCTTCGATGGCCTGCACCGCCACCAGTTGTTGATTGCGAAGACCGCCGAGAAGTGCCTGAGAGCTGCGGTTCCTGCCGCACGCAATGGAAGGAAGGGCGGTGCCATGTGTACCCAGGCTGTTGCCATGCCCGCCACTCGTGGTACCGAGGTGGTGTTCGAATCTAAGGTCTTCAAGAAGGAGAAGATCACACTTGCTGGCGGTGACGAGGTTTGTTTACGCGCTCTTCTTATTTTCGATTGTGCACTCGTTCTTCTGAATAGTTCACACTTTGTGACCTCTAGGATTAGGTAGGCTTGGGGTATTAGGTATTGTTTAGACGTCAGTTCCTGTCATTTTTAAGGGATAAGATGGAAAGTGCAGTGTAGACTGAGTGCAAGTTGTTTCGTGGGCGCGTGTAGTACATCGTCAGAGGTGGACGGGACCTATTTCCTCTGCTACCCAAGGCTCTTCAGGGTATCAAGAAGATTGGGGTGATTGGATGGGGTTCTCAGGTATGAATCTCACAGCATGTTTTATAATCATGTTCATTTCCACAGTGTTTAGTATATGAATAGTAGTATTTCCTTGCGACGTTGTCACGATGCATAGGAGAGTACCATTGTTGTCAACATCGTATGGTCAGCTTACATGGTCTTTTGTGTCTCGCTTGTGCAGGGACCGGCTCAAGCCCAAAACTTCAGGGACTCTTTGAATGCTATCGGTTCCGACATCGTAGTGAAGGTTAGTTGCTACCCACTGAAATCGTCAGGAAGTATACACGCTTGTTATCGCAGGACTTCGACACACATTTTACTGGAATAACTTTTAGCTTGATTCGAATCAGCTGTATCTTACGGGTCCAAATTTTGTTTGAATGTTTAAAAGTCGTACGGCGTGATCCAATTTATTTGTGCACCGAGCATAAGCAAAAGTTGTTGTGTTCCTTATTGGCATTCTCCTCCCCACGAATCTTCAGGTTGGTTTGAGGAAGGGTTCGAAGTCTTGCCAGGAAGCACGAGCTGCAGGTTTCACTGAAGAGACTGGCACTTTGGGAGATGTGTTGGAGACTGTTTCGGAAAGTGACCTGGTTATGCTGTTGATTTCCGATGCTGCTCAGGTGAGTGTACTTATATCCTTTGTTGTGACTTCTAGCATTCTCAATGGAAGCGGCGAGGAAGCTTGCACTTCTTCTTGTTATGTATACATTTTCTCATTACATCGTAAATTTGAAGCGAATTAACATGTTCTACATACATCCCGCAGGCCGACAACTACAAGGAAATTTTTGCCGCAATGAAGGACAACGCAATTCTTGGTCTTTCTCACGGTTTTCTTTTGGGACACCTCCAGTCTCTTCGTGAGGAGTTTCCTAAGAATATTAGCGTCATTGCAGTGTGCCCTAAGGGTATGGGTCCCTCCGTGAGGCGCCTCTATGTGCAGGGAAAGGAAGTTAACGGAGCCGGTATCAATGCAAGTTTCGCCGTCCACCAGGTGAGTGCATAATTTTTGCTCAACCACTCGTCCCCGGGCGAGATTGTTTTTTGTTGTCGACAATTGTGCGCCTTAAGAATGAACTATGCACAATGTCTTACTGTTTGTCTTTTGGCGTGCAGGACGTAGACGGCAGGGCTACAGATGTAGCTCTTGGGTGGTCAGTAGCCTTAGGATCACCATTCACATTCGTGACCACTTTGGAGGATGAATACAAGAGTGATATCTTTGGTGAACGAGGTAATCATGAGAAGTGATCCCTCAATGCTTTGTATTTTCACCTGAGTTCTGTAGAAAATTTCATGTTGAATTGATTTTTGGAAGTGCTCACAGATCTACGTTTTGCTAATTGGTTGATTTCATTCAGGTATTCTCCTCGGTGCCGTTCATGGAATTGTGGAATCTCTCTTCAGACGGTACACCTCCAACGGCATGCAAGAAGAAGCTGCTTACAAGAACACAGTTGAGAGTATTACAGGCATCATTTCAAGAACCATATCCGCTAAGGTTGGCACTCTTTGTCCTGGTGTCCCTCTATCTGGATGTAATCCTCTTGAGCTTGTTGCTTTCCTGGAGGTGGAACATAAACTGGAACTGATCAAAGAGTCCATAAAGTGAAGACTGCAAACCGCTTGCACTACTTAACTCCATTTGATGAGGTTGTAATCTTTCCCTTCGGGTTGTCAGTCTCAACTTTCGCATATAGTATTATGGACCCTTGCAAGTACTGATATAAAGATTTGGAGCTCACTTAGTTGGCCTTTACCACAAATTAATAGAAAATATATCTCACAGCTCTTCTGCGTTTCAGGGAATGTTGGCCGTATACAGATCCTTAAGCGACGAAGGAAAGAAGGAATTTGAAGCCGCTTACAGTGCTTCTTACCTTCCTGCTATGGACATTCTCTATGAATGCTATGAAGACGTTGCTTCTGGGAACGAGATCAGAAGTGTAGTGCTCGCAGGACGTCGATTCTCTGTAAGTGAGCTGGAGTCCAGTTTAGAGGTTCATATTAAGTTCACAATTTGTTTGTTGTATACATTGACTATCATCAGTGAATCTCTTCCAGAATCAACCAGGTGTTTTGTTTCCTAGTGAATTGTGAGGATTTTGACACTGTTGAGGATTCGTTGATTATTATCAACGAATCTTTTGTGCTTGTATCTAACAAGAACCAATATAATAACTCTGGTCAAGAAGCGTCTTTTAGTATCAATGTAGTGTCTCGTTTCTGACTAGAATGTAATTGTCTTAACTTTGTTAATAAAGATAAATATAATGAGATCAAATTTAATCATGTCTTTGTATGCCCATTCGCAGCCTAAGGAAGGGTTGCCCGCCTTCCCCATGGGTATTATCGACAACACCCACATGTGGAGAGTAGGTGACAAGGTCCGGTCGACCAGAGATGAAAACGACCTTGGTCCTCTCCATCCCTTCACAGCTGGTGTTTTCGTAGCCACAATGATGGCCCAGGTAATGAAATAGTCATGTTTAAAGCACGCGTGATTAGTAGATTTTCTCATCAAGTATCGTACAGGCTGATTTGTTTTTTTATCGCTTTCCTTTTGTTTTGCTGAGTAAGAAACTTTTCTTTACCTACTACAGATTGAGGTTCTAAGGAAAAAAGGTCATTCCTACTCGGAGATCATCAACGAGAGTGTAATTGAGGCTGTCGACTCGTTAAATCCATTCATGAACGCGAGGGGTGTTTCATTCATGGTCGACAATTGCTCCACCACCGCAAGACTTGGCTCAAGGAAGTGGGCTCCGAGATTCGACTATATCTTGACACAGCAGGTTGGTTGTGTTCAAATCGTGCATAGTCAGTGTGTCTGTATGAATCATTACACGCACTTGATTTCACAAAACTCCCGTCACTAACTGTGTTTGTTATTGTCAAATAGGCCTACGTTGCTGTGGATCAGGGTGCACCTATTAACCAGGAGCTTATCAGCAGCTTTGTCTCAGATCCGGTACACAAGTCAATTGAAATCTGTGCCGAGCTCAGGCCGACTGTTAACATTGCAGTAACTGCTGATGCAGGTTTCGTGAGACCTGAGTTACGCCAGTAGAGCCTGGATGCTTTCCCTAGAAGATTTGTTTGCTATATGTTAAATAGGAAAGGTGGGTATGTTGAGTACCGCGCAGAGACATAGATACGGGTATTTCACCCGATTTTGTCGAGAAGCTGCAGTAGCTTTAGTTGTTGCAAACAGCAACAGTCAGGAGAGCACTGTCGTATGATTATTGTTAATGTGACGAGAAAATGAAGATTGATATAATTTTCTGACATTACAGTTTTGTCCCTTGTCACATATGTGATATTTTATTGGTAAGTTCTGAGAAGATAAATTATACGGAGAGGAAAGTTCGATTGTTGGAATTGGGATCGAGGACCTTTGGAACCTGTGAACCCTACGACCGTATTTTTGGAATGAGAAAAATGCCTTAGCTGGAAATGTGGTGCTTAAATGTTTGAGGTGTAGTGTTCAATTGCGCTTAGGGTGGGATGTACGTCGGAGTTTTGAGTAACGTAGGCATCCAGTTAATGACGCATGTAGACGAACGAAGACGTAAGCTTCAAGCTCGACCAATTATACGTCAAATGATCAGGAGAAAAGTGGCCTCATTACCTCTTTGAGGAAATGAAATAGAGAAAGGACTTCGTAGCCGAAAATAGTGTCCTTCCATTTGGTGAGAGTTTAGATGAACAAGACTGTAATTACCTTGGACATGTAGTATCGATACAAAAGTATTGAACGCAGTCAACGGAGGGACGATTTCACGATGAGAGGTGAAAACATTTCTCGAAGAACGTTGACGAAAATTAGAAATGATGATGTATTTAACGCTTTATTAACAAATTTAATATGACTTCATGAAAATTTACAGTCCCAATGCCGGCTCCACTCTTGCAAACTCTGGTACTCATAGCACATACACTCTAAAAAGCCACATCTGCCACATAATACTTGCATTCAGACACAATCTTAAACCTGATTTTCTGGGTGCATAAAATGTCACTCAATGCACTGAACATTGTAAAACTAAAACGTGTACTTCCCTTTTGCAATCTACTTCGTTCATCCATTGTAAATGCCAAAATTAAACCCTTGACCATTACAAGTTTGATTTACAGATTGAGAAACTCACATCTCCAAATTTTTTTTAATCTTCTGCAATTAGAGAACGGAAATTAATGCATTCAATAAATCATTAATATACGCAATCGTAGTTACAATCTATAAATTTGTAGTTATATCCATAACATACTACTTATTCATATCAACCATCAAAGTTACTCATAATAAGGATATGCAAAATATAGTTATATATGTTTGACAGCCATCGTAATTATAAGACATTATGGATATTCGTTTTACATTCTTATGATAGCTTATTATAGTAGGATACATGAGCTATGGCTTTCTTTTCTTTCTTTCTTTCTCTGCGTGGTGTATTCACTATTTTGAATAGTCAGAGTTCAAACAATCCAAATCCCAAAACGAGCAATCAAATCATGTGATGCACATGAAGTACAAGAACTGCTTGTAGTTCCAATATTTCAACGCCGCTATAACATATTTACTATCGTGATATTATTGGTACCTAGTCGACACTACACTTTAGCTTCATATAAACTCGAAGGGTCTTTGCGTTAAATTCCCTCTATTCTTCGGAATCCTGGAGCCGGATGAAACCATATCCTTACGTCATATTCCAAAGTGACCGAATAATGTCTCGGTACTTTACCCATTTCACAGTTGGCTCTCCCGCAATGCTTATCTCTATCACGAGCAGAAACTGCACGGACATCGACTTGGTGCTTCCACGAACTCATAGATCGGGCCAGCAACTTGGACAGAAACTTGACTCCAAAATTGAGGAGAACCACGCAATGTTCTGCTCTCGGCGCAACCGCTCGGCATGACAGGCTCGGAATGCCGCCCGCCGAGAGAGAATTCAATGGCATAATCATCCGGAAGCACAAGTGGAAAATCCGGTCACGGAAGAAGAATCGGAGCTGGAACGGGAGGGGAGGTCGGGGGAGCTGAGGGGGGAGACTACTGGCAGAACGGAACGCGGTTGTCTTTGGTCGGACATCCGACCACCATGTCCGCGTGGTACGTGATGAAACGGAGGTGGGGAGTGTCTTCCGAGACGGCTTTCCACCATGCATCCGATTCTCCAGCTAGAAATCCCCGCCAGTGAGGGGTCCAGTTGGCGGGGTCCACTTCCTCCCCGAGCCTGCGCTTCAGATAGCCCAGAAATTGGGGCTTCGGCCGCCGGGCACTGATCTCCTTCCTCTTCTGCGCCCTGAGCGCGGACGCTCGCCTGCGCTCCTCTTGCCTCCTCTCGATCTCCTTGTCCTGGTCAGCAGCCACCGCGCTGCCCGTCGAACTCCCCGTCAGCAATTCCAACTCCGTGAACAGAGGGTCCCGGCCAGCGCTGCCCTTCGGGAACACCATGATGTCAATTCGCTACTCCAGGCGTTCGCTATTCGCGTCGATACTCCATTCTCGCGTCGTCCCTCGTCCCGCCTCCGGACCTAGCTCAGCTGACCAGGGCCGAATCACGAACCGACAATACTCCCACGGCCACGCAATCGCGACGACCACGATGGAATTGGCCTTGTGGTTGTGGTTTCCACGTGGATCGAGCCGAGCCCAGCAGCGCAGCCCGTGTCGGATGTCGCAGACACGTTTGCAGGCTTCTGTCAGTGCTTCGCCGTCGGACTGCATGAAATAAGCAGCGCTCTGTTGCGCCCGGCGTTTTGGTGCCGTTGCGTTGTTCAGCTGAAGAGCGCAGCCAGCGAGACCAAGAAGGGAAGATGTGACGAGCAGTTACAACAGCTTCACACTACCGCTACTACAGTTCTGGGTTGGACGTTTGCAGACCCAATTTCCACGACGTAGGGCATTCATGATGGCAACATGCTCGACACAAATATTGTAGAGTATTGGTTGCTACAAGTTTTTTCGAAACAATAGTCGGGTACATCTTACAAGTCCGAGAAGTTATTTATACTGAGTCACTGAACGTAAATTGGCTTTCGACCCATGTTTTATATCATAATTCTATAGTTTGTACTTGTACATTTACTCCTGATGTGATTAATATATGATGTTTGCTATGGCTCTATGGAGAGAATATCTCACATGAAATTAATGTAGAGTCTGTATCGCAATATAGTCATTTTAGGAAAAAGCTGTAATCGGTTACGGAGAATCATGGTTATGTTGCACACACGGTTATCAAACCTATACTTTGCCATGCTTTTTAGTGATGATGGACGGAGAGCGATTTCATATGCAGTTTTAAAACTGTGACTAGACTTCTTCTTTTAGGCAACAAAAGAAATGTCAACATCCAAGATCTGAAAGTATATGGGTTCATTTATAGATCAAATTTTTTTACTCTAGTTTTTATGTAAAATAGTCTATATAGATTCATATATATATTAGCATGTTGATCTTGATTTATTTGTTAGAGAGTATGAAATAATCAACCATATTAGGACTTAAAAGATATCAAATTTGATTAATTGTATAATCTAGAGAGCGGTTAGTAATCTCCCAGCTTATTCTAATTATTCTTCACCCTACAATAATCTAATGCGAATCATTTGAAACCATGACTCTTTGAAGAAAGTACCTGCATCTCTCTTGTACTTCGCATTGTTCCCCAAGGCAAAGTGGTACCTTTTAGCAAGACTTACTACAAGCCCGTTCACCATGAAGAGGGACAAAATCTGACCGGGACAGATTCACTGTCTAACACCGAAGAGGACATACTTGCAATCATTTTTGCTGAAGTTCGTGTCCTTTCCAAGAATCTCTCAAGTTTCACCTCGAAGGTATTGGGAAAACTCGTCAGACCCGAGCTAAACCCCACAGATTTCTGTAGTGTGAGTGATAATTAACAGAGATTGAGCGATAACTAACCACTGCCATAACCTATTGAAGATCAGATTTTTTTTTCTCCCTCGACTGCATATCGTAAATCACTTATATAATAAAAGTTACTCATATTTCCATTTTTTTTATAAAACAATTTTTATCATAACCTAAATTGCATATATATTTCATGATCAATAAAAATAATTATCATATAATGTATGAGTCCAGATGAAACCTAGAAAAATAAGAAATTAATTTTAAAAAATATTATCGTAAATTTATAAACTATTTATTTAGAAAATTTTTCAGTTCTCTTTTTGTGAAATATAGAATTCAAAATCAAGTTACAAAATTTTTAGAATTATATTTTTTCTGTGATATAATTAAAATTCAATATCGATTCCATCAAAAAACTTGATAAGGATTGTTTTCTAATCATATTAAAATTTATAAATTTATTTTTAAAAAACAATAATATGAAAATTTTGGAAATTTTTATATCAAATGTTAGAAACGTCAAAATAGTTCACGATATTTTGAAACTTTAGGCTTTCTCAATAAATAAACAAATTTTCAGATATCTTTTTGTTTTATTTTATATTAGATTTCATTCAAAAACATTCATATATTTTTCATTCTAAAATTTTTGCAATGAAAAAAGACTTTTTTTTCGGCATAATTTATGGTTTTGATGCATGACTTATTGCGAATTGGTTTTCATATCTCTACCTATCTAACAATAATTATAAATCTAGCAACGATTTAGTAGATTAAAAATTTATATTTTAAGAGATTTCTTTATATATTGGCACATTTATGGGGCTAACAAATTAAAATTGTATTGGAATACAACACCAGGGTAGTTTTAAATAATGTAGGAGCCGTGTCGAGAAATGGAGCAACGCAGCAGCAAATTAAGTCCTTCGATGGCCTGCAACGCCACCAGTTGTTGATTGATTCCTGCTGCACGCAATGGAAGGAAGGGCGGTGCCATGTGTACCCAGGCTGTTGGCATGCCCGCCACTCGTGGTTCCGAGGTGTGTTCGAATCTAAGGTCTTCAAGAAGGAGAAGATCACACTTGCTGGCGGTGACGAGGTTTGTTTACGCGCTCTTCTTATTTTCAATTGTGCATTCGTACTTGTGAAGAGTTTACACTTTGTAACCACTAGGATTTCGGTAGGCTTGGGGTATCAGGTATTAGGTATTGTTTACATGTCAGTTTCTGTCATTTTTAAGGGATGAGATGGAAAGTGCAGTGTAGACTGAGTGCAAGTTGTTTCGTGGGCGCGTGTAGTACATCGTCAGAGGTGGACTGGACCTATTTCCTCTGCTACCCAAGGCTCTTCAGGGTATCAAGAAGATTGGGGTGATTGGATGAGGTTCTCACGTATGAATCTCACAGCATGTTTTATAATCATGTTCATTTCCACAGTGTTTAGTAAATGAATAGTTCTATTTCTTGCGACGTTGCTACGATGCATAGGAGAGTACCATTGTTGTCAACATCGTATGGTCAGCTTACATGGTCTTTTGTGTCTCGCTTGTGCAGGGACCCGCTCAAGCCCATTAACATTGCAGTAACGGCTGATGCAGGTTTCGTGAGACCTGAGTTACGCCAGTAGAGCCTGGATGCTTCCCTAGAAGATTTGTTTGCTATATGTTAAATAGGAAAGGTGGGTATGTTGAGTACCGCGCAAAGACATAGATACGGGCATTTCACCCGATTTTGTCGAGAAGCTGCAGTAGTTTTAGTTGTTGCAATCAGCAACAGTCAGGAGAGCACTGTCGTATGATTATTGTTAATGTGACGAGAAAATGAAGATTGATATAATTTTCTGACATTACAGTTTTGTCCCTTGTCAAATCTGTGATATTTTCTTCGAAAGTTTTTGAGAAGATAAATCATACGGAGAGGAAAGTTTGATTGTTGGGATTGGAATCAAGGACCTTTGGAACTTGTGAACCCTACGACCTTCTTCTATGAATAAGAGAAATGTTATTGTTGAAAGTGTGGTGCATAAATGATTGAAGGGTTGTAATGTAATTGCCCCTAGGGTGGCATGTACGTCGGGTCATTTTGAGTAACGTAGGCATGCACTTAAGGACGCATGTAGCCGAACGAAGACGTAAGCTTCAAGCTCGACTTATATTATATCGACTTCAAGCTCGAATTATGCGTCATTTGATAAGGAGAACAATGTCCTCAGTACCTATGAGGAAATGAAACGGGAGAGACTTCGTAGGCCGAAAATAATGTCCTTTCATTGGGTGCGAGTTTAGAAGAATAAGACTCTAATTCCCTTGGACATGTAGTATCGATACAGAGGTATTGAACGCAGTCAACGGAGGGACGATTTTACGATGATAGATAATAGGAAGGAAGGACATTGACGAAGATTACATATGAACTGAAACATTTAATGCTCTTCTGACAAATTTGGAATGTCATAACAAAAATTAACAGTCCAAATTCCGGCTATATACTAGCACTTTCTGATATTTATCAGACATAAACTCTAAACAGCCATATCTTGCATACATTTATCTCCTTCAGACATAATCTTGATCCTGATTTTTGAGTGCACAGATTGTCACTAATTGCACTAAACACTATAAAACTAAGTCTTTTTCTATTTTTTTCTTGAAAAGTGGTTACTACAATCACAACATCTGCATTGTTTGTCCATTCTAAATGCCAAAATGTAACCCATGACCACTAAAAGAAAAAAAAAGAGATCTACAGTTTGAGAAATTCACATCTCCAAACTTATTTGAATCTTCTGTAAATGGAAAACTGAAGAAAATGCGTTCCATATGTCATGAACATACAACTGCCTAGTTATCAGCCAATCCGGGGCCTACGAGCATCATACCCGTGCGGTTTGTGGTTAGGGTTTAGGGCTGACTGCGGCCGAGTGACCGAGAGCTGATAATGGCCTGCCGGATCTGCCTCTAGTGGAGAGGAGGGTGCGCGTCGCCGGAACCTGGCGGAGCTTGTAGAGGGAGGATTGGGTTGTGTGCCGTGAGCATCCAGAGGCGGGGGGAGAGAACCCATGCCCCAACAAGACCGACAGCACGAGTGTGTGAGAGAGAGGTGAAGGGCGACAGAAAGGATAGGAGAGCAGCAGAAGAGTGTAGTGGTGGTGCGCGCTCAAGAGCAAGAGCGAGAGGAGAAGAAGAAGAAGAAGACGAGAGGAGGGAGCGGGTGGAAACAAAAGCGTACTGGGGAAGCATTTTGAGGAAAGGAACAAGGGAGCGCAGCAAAGGGTGGCTGTCGGACTGAGGGAGAGAGTGAGGAGAGAAGGGGGTTGGACCAGTCCAGGAGGAGAGCCGGCCCGTAATTCGGGGCATATATTGGCAGACAAGCGGGTTGATAGAAGTCCGCATGCGCAGCGATCTCAATCAATTGGAACAGTTGTCGAGTAACTGAGGCGCGACGAGTCGAGAAGAGAAGAGGAGAGGAGGAAGACGAAGAAGAACAAGTAGAGGAGGAAGACGGAGAGAGGGGGAGAGGGAGAGTGAGACAGAGAGAGAGATACAGAGAGGAGGAGGAGACGGAGAAGAGAAGCGAATCGAAAACATAGGCCCAGGGAAGTACTTGATTGATCGCTCGATCGGCCTTGTACAGATCCTTGCTCACCTCGGCGGGCTGCGTCGGGCGATCGCCGATCGGGTCGGTTCTCGCATGCACAGCTCTCGGGAGGCCGTCGGCGTCTCGGCGATTTATGCGCTCGGCTCGAAGGCTGGAAAACCGAACCCTCTTGGATGATTAGTTTTGTGCCCGCGGAGGGAGTTCCGACCAGAGTGGACTGGCTTTGGTCATGCATGCTGTAGCGCTTCCTTCCTTTCTTCGTCGTCTGAGTGGTTGAGATCCCGGTTCTTTCGTTCTGCACTTTGAATGCTTTCATGTTGTTCCAAGCTTGCGTGCCCGCCCCGCTTTATGCGTTTGTGAGCCTCTTCCCGTGCTCCGGAACTCCGTCCGTCTCTCACGCTGACCTCGTAGCTTCCCTGAGTTGAGTCGAAACATTCTGACTTTCAGAGCGCTCCGTGCGAACTCCTTGCGTGCTTGAACGAAATTCGGGTTTGCGCTTCGTTTCCCGGCCCGGCACGTTCCTGTACAATTCATCGTTGTCGATTCGTTCTGTCTTGCTTCCACATTCGTTCCCGCCTCTCCCGGCGCGTCGTACCTGGTCTTCAGTATGTCTGAGATATTCGAAGGCTATGAACGCCAGTATTGCGAGCTTTCCACCAGTCTGTCTCGGAAATGTACATCCACCGGTCTTCTCAATGGAGGTATAAGTCGAATTCGGCTCTTCCTGTATAATCTGCCTTCCCTCTTTTGCCATTTTTGACAAATTTTGGAATCAATGGGTGGCCGATCTTAGCAGTTTTAGTTATATATCTCGTTAGGGCGTGAATTGTGCAAGATTTGGAAACATTGTTTTTCTCCTGTCTAGGGCAGAGCCTCACTGCAGGCGCGGGTGGTGAAGTTTTTTGACTACATGATTAATCCTAAATATTTCCTGCGAGTGACCTGAATTCGTTCTTCATTACTTTTTGCAGAAGAGAAGAAACAGAAGCTATCAGAGCTCAAGACTGGACTCGACGAGGCGGAGGCCTTGGTATGATCTACTTTCATTAGCCATTAACTAGGCTCAAGAGAAATTTCATTGACCTCGAAAGGACCTGCTGAACCCCTGTTCAGCTGGTCTTCGTTTGGAATATCTGAGTCCTATCCTTGTTGGTTTCGAACTCCATAGTTGTTGAAGCCAATACCGAATTTGAGTTTGACATGTTGGGGTTAGGTCGAAAAGGATAATCGATGTAAGTCTGTGTGGAGCCGTGTCCGAGTGCGTGCTTGTTTGTGTGGAGGGCAACTTAGGCATCCGTATGCACAGATGGGATGTGAATTGGCCAATTGTGACCTTCATCTTTTATCTACATAGTGAGGGGGAGTTAAGCATTCAGACTGCCTCGACTGTGCACGCCACGGCGAGTGACATGCACATACTGTAGGTACAGTTTCTTAATTTATGGGTAGGATTTGTTTCTACATACCACCACGCCAATGGAGATATGTGTTACGTATCCTTATATTAACTGTGATACTTATCTGCTTGGTTCTCAATCTTGGGATCGCGAGTTAAATACATTACGACATCGCTTTGCGGTCTGTCTTGGAGGTCTGTCGACGACGGATGTATTGACGGGGCATGCATTATGGATGCATATGTGATGTAACGGTCAGGATCGGTTCTTAGGCATTATCTCGAAGTTGGCGTTGTATGTCTTGTACCCTTACCTAGATTGTGGTGGCTTGATTTTTTTTTTGGTTCATCCCCTTGTAGCCGCAGTTTTCCTGCATGTGTTCACTCTTGCACGACAAATGCTCCAGTCTTCTTTGGCTAAATTCTTGCTTAGGTGTGCATGGCTCAAGCTTAATTTCAAAGGGAGGAAGGTTTCAATACCTTCAATTCAATCATTGTAATTCATTGTCAGAAAGTGGGTTATCGGAGCCACATTTGAAAAGAATCGGGGTTACACATCCGCCATTTATAATCAGGAACGTCTGCATGTCTCTCGGTCGTTTTATGGTCACTCTGTTCTCTAGTTTGCTTGTCATTTGAAGAGGAGAGTATTGTGTTCGAAGTAGGAGCATTTAAGGCTTGAGGGTTTTCGTATGTGGAATTGGTCTCTTTGCAAGAATATTTCTTAATTCACGAGCGCATGCACTTTCAACAAACTGTTCCTCTTCTCTGAGGAAGCTACTGGAAAATTCCTCTGTGGCTCCTTGATGATGTACACATCCTGATCATTGGCAACTTGTTTGATCTGAAGATTCGAAAGATGGATCTGGAGGCCCGAAGCTTGCCGCCAACACCGAAGGCCACACTACTTGCGAAATTGCGAGAGTACAAGTCCGATTTGAATAATCTGAAACGTGAGGTCAAAAAATCATCAACGAACGATGTATCAGCTTCCAGAGATGAACTGATGGAGGGAGGAATGGCAGACTCTGCTTCGGTAAGTGTCCTTTGTTTTCATTCCTAGTGTTTTCAGGTTACCATGCCGTATTTTCTGTTTTCGTTCATGTCTCATATATGGCTTTGATTGGATTACTTTGTTCTAAAGGTTTGGAGGAAGCAGCACAGTCGATTTCCCTCTCATGACCCTTTTTTTGTGAATTGCTACTAAGTCTCTTGTATCTGTTGGGACAATGTTCAAATTCTTTTTAAAATAATTTCTATCTCTTCGGACGATCATCTCAGTCAGCTGCAGATCAAAGGGCAAGACTTTTGTTGTCCACGGAGAGATTGAACCAGACCGGAGAAAGAGTAAAAGACAGCAAAAAAACGCTACTTGAAACAGAAGAACTCGGTGTCTCTATTCTTCAGGATCTCCATACCCAAAGACTGAATCTTCTGCATGCACGTGAGACGGTACGTTGATCACACTTTGGGTTTTGCCCTTTGGCCAGAATTTTCAACTTTCAGTTTCTGTGTCTGAGGGAGGGTCTGTTCTGAAAGGTGTCCTGCGGGGTACACCAAGTCTGTATCTCTGAAGCTGTGAGTTTGCACGTGAAGTCAACACACCTCTGGTCGAGGATCTGGTGTGTCCCTTTTTTTTTTCTTTCCATTTCAAAAGCCTCCAACGAGTTGCTCTGGGTGGGAATCAGCTGACGGTCTATCAGACAAATTTTTACACAGAACATTGTTCGACCTGATTCCGAGTAGCTCAGATATAAAGTGACATGCAATTTGAAACATCATACACACTGGAACTTTTTTCTTTGAAACGAGCCTTTTTACCCACGAATTTGGCTGCATAATAGTCACCAATTTTTAAGCAGTGATACACCAAGGAGGAAAACAAAATTCACCTTCAGCATTCAGTTCGCTGCTTTGCTCAAAGTGCCGTCTTTGCCGTAGAAAAGTGAAGACCATTAGAGTTGAGATTTACATCACATGCGCAATCTCTTCTAGTGACTGTTGTGGATGTATCCTGCAGTTGCACGGAGTTGATGACAACGTTGGAATTGGCCAGCGCATAATGAAGGGCTTAGGGTTTTGGAAGGGCTTGGGCTTTTAGTGGGTTTGTGGATTTTGTTATGGATCCTGATATTGTAATAGTTTAAGACTCTACTGGATATGGGAGCTGACATGTACCGCCGGATGCAGTTGCACGGAGTTGATGACAACATCGGGAAGAGCAGGCGCATCCTTAATTCAATGGGCCGCAGAATGAGTCGGAACAAGTGGATCATGGGAGGGATCATTGGTGTCCTTATTTTTGCCATATTTTTAGTTGCGTATATAAAGTTCAGCAGTCGTAGTAAGTAGGCCAAGTATATATCATATTCCTGGTCCCATCATGAATCCTGATGGGATAAGTGGGGAGTATGCTGATATAGGTCGCTTTAAGGCCCTGTTTTGCCTGGTCACGTTAGTTGGTTTGTTCCTTCGTGAGAGTCGTGAGGATGTCTCCATGACTTGATTCTTTGCTAGTGAGGGTGTTGACACTTGCATGATCTTGCAAGCTTGTGATTTATAAACAATAGAGAAGGCATACTAAACACTTATAACCATTGGCAATGAGGTGATTGCTTTGTTGACCAGCCAGGCTTGTAAATTTGTAGTTGATAGGGAGAGATCCATGGCAGGAGCATTTTGAAGATCATCGATTATGATTGTTTTACTCATTCACCCATAATAACCGAGGGTGCACTTTTCCAATCAGCACGGGTTATACATGTGCTGCCAACGTCTACATTTTGTTTGGCTGCAATCAACATCGGTGTTTTTGATTTCGCTTATGAATTTTACGTACTAGGCCCGCCTTTTTAGTATCTATATCAGCTAACTCGCCGCACGTTGGCCGCCTGTTTTTTTGGTGTGAAAGCAATGATTGTTAACCTTTGGCTTTGTCCACGTCCTCTGATACATGTAAACATATTCAGGTGTTGGGTAAATAAACTACTCTCGCATTGTTTACTTACTGCTTTGCTTACTCTCACCTGTTGTTACATGGATATCTTGTCTGGTTTTGTAATTATTTCCGAAACTGTGCAGATCTTCTCCACGAAGAAGACATCACGTTGAATTATCATGGTTATAGAGCTGTCAAAATTTGCTATGTCACTGTCGGTTGTCGTAGTATCCGTGTAATGATACTTTGCCAATTCATTTGCTGACGAAAAGCGAGCCACATCTTCCTGCAGAAAAGCCTGCTGTCTGAAAAAGGTTTAGTCATGCATGTTGATACTGCTTTTGATAGGAATCCTTCCGTTTTAGGGGACCGCGTAGATCATATTGATCCAAGTACGCTAGCAAAGTTTCAAAATTCTATCCTTGATCAAACTCGTCGATATAGACATTGACTTGAGAATGGAAGGCTGGAGTATAACCAGCAAAAGTAGCTACCTTCAAATGCTTCTGCACCTCCTCAAAATTGTTTTCCAAATTTTGTGCTGTTCGTTCGTTTATCCAAGCGCTGAGATGTCAATTTGAATACCGTTGAACTCTGCGCTAAGCAGACGAGAATTGCGAGTGAGCAGGTATGTCAGAGAGGAAGGAAACAATATGTAAGTGTCTCGTCTTTGGCGATCTTTACAACCTACTCATCTGTTCTTAATTGAAGATAGTCCAACTAGTCCGTCTGTGTCTCGTCAGCTCACGATGGCTCGTCGCTGGTTCAGGCGAAGATTGGTCCGTGCAGCACGCAGTTGCTATAGTCGCTACGGCTATTATGCGGGAAGCAATTGCACACCGGTGTTCCTTTTTTCTAGCGCTTTGTGATTGCTAAATGCTTTCATACATCTACAATACAAGTAATTATATGCCACTACAATCAGGGGAGAAAACCTTGTGACATTTAACTTCACATCCAAAAGAAGTTATATGCAACGATGATAATCAAGATTCACACAACGCCTTTTCCGTAAGTTGTGATCATCACACTGAAAGGTGTTTCAACTAATTCAGCTTGCGAGCACATGTTAAGCGTAGTTGGTCCGATCCTGTATCAGCCCATCTTTTACTTCATCTAAGTTTCAGATGTCCACCGTCTTGAGATAATCCTCTAACTATCCTCCGCTATAGATGTCCTAGGACCAATAACAGATAACCAGGGAAGACGTAGTACGTCCAGTAGCTTATCTAAAAGGTGTGCACCAACTTGGAAAATCACACTCCACATTTGTGCAGCGATGCATCGATTGATTCGGCCATTTGGTTCACCATACTTAGTAATGAATACTGTATACACTCGCCTGTTGAGACTTGATGTAATTTTTGAATATTTGGCAGTTCCAGAGGATACGTACACATTCCACCACTCGAGCAGAAACGCTATATATACAAAGAGTATGGATACATTCTCATGTCACCTACTGCAATCCAAGCTTATTATACACGCATTTGGAGACCTGATTATTGTTGCTGATGATCATGGATCGGACACTTTTGACACTTAGAGGTCATTTGGTTTTTGGCTGATTAAGCTTAGTGTTGCCACTTAGATTCGACAAGCAGCACAGTTTAGTTGCTCTACAATAGTGCAACTAGACTCTGAAGTGCACATAGCGAATGTACATAAGGTCAACAAAATTGTCTTTGTTTGTTCTTGGCTCTACCATGATGCATGCCATGGAGCACATTCAATGTTGCAATCATTATAGCTCGCAAAATTTTGGAGAAAATTCTTTTAATTATTGATTTTCGATCAAGATTCTGAGTTGTATGAGATATTTTTATTAATTTAAGGGAAAGCAAAGTATTCAAAAGAAAGTTATATATAACAACAGAAAAGATAATATGTCTTGAGCTTTTATTTTCTTCTATTAAGCTAAACACTGAAATTTGGATAATTATTCAATATAACCTTTAAGATTTTTTAAAAATATATTCATGGTTTTTTAACAAATTTTTAATTTTTTTTTACTGAACTGATAACAAATGAAATCTGAAAATGAAAAATGAAGAAATGAAAAAGTGAAAGTTTTATTCTAATCAAGCAGATCTTTTTTTCATGAAAAGGTAGTAGGGGACAGTTTTTATTTGTTTTATGATATATTTTGCAAGATAAATGGATGTGGTTATTATGATCGTAACCTTCTGAATATTCTTCAAATAATCATTTAAAAATACTGAATAATAATCCATACGACTTAAGACCTAACCTAAGACGTTCACTCCGTGTTTAAAGAAATCAAACAATTACAGTGCTATGCATTAAAGTTTTCAATAATGCTTTTGGAAATTTTAAAAATAATTGAAATGTGTATATTGATGACATTCAATGATACATAGTTGTTTCTATTCTAAAGTTTCATTTCAGAACATGTAATTTTTCCATATTTTAAGAAATATAATCAAGTCATTTCTGTTGACAAAATTATAATATTTTTATGAATTTCACTTATAAAATAATTATTCATTTCTAGAAATAATTTTAATAAAGAAATGGGATCAATATTGAATCAAACTATTCAGATTATTAAAAATAATTTCACAAAATAATTTCTGGAAAAATAATACTTTCACAATGCTTACTTTAATTGGATCTTGCTTAAACTCAATTAGTTAGTATTTGATTAGTGGGAAAAATAAATGAATAAAAATCTCTATGAAACTATAAATCTGTACTAAAGCCTAATAAAGATGAGGGATTATATAATATTTTACAAAAATTGCAATAAAAGATGTATGAAATGAATAGTTTTGTATCTTGATATTATTGATGATTTTGATATTTTATTGGACAGTAAAAAATATATTTTGGATTTCATTGATGTTTATTAAAAATATCATAAGCAAAAAAAAAAGCGTTTAGATACATGATTTCATGCATTAGTTATAGAAATATATTGAAAAAATTCATAATTCAATCAATGAATTTTTTACATATATTATCGCGAAAAAAATCAATTAAAAAATCAATTTAAAGAAAATTACTTTTAATTTTTTTTTTCAAAATATTATTGTTTATATATAAGTACATATGGCTAAAAATCAAGTGTTAAAGAACAGATGAAGCACAAAAAATAAATATTAATCTTATGAGAAATATTTGTTTATAAGAAGATGGAATTAATCTAAATTATTAAGTGTAATTTATAGGTATATTAATCCAAATTTTTTGAAAAAATTTGACAAATATTATGTTATGTATGAAACATAAAATGACCACAAATAAAAAAAATAAAAAAAAAATAAAAACTTATTATATAATCTATCATAATTTGGCCACTAATTATATCCAATCCATTTTAGTTAAAATAAATCTCTTTGAGGTTTCACAACTGATATTCACCTTTTCAATTATATAATTTAATACCATATATGAATAAATTTTTTTTTGGTTAAAGATTCAGTTAGATTTTGATTAGTTTTTCTTCTTTTAACTTTATCAGTTTGTCTAGCTAGTTTGCACACACACACACAACTATATAACACAATTAAAATTTTCAAAAAAACAACATTGTGCTTTCATGAAACTTAGTATCATGTATTAATTTTTGTCCATTATGCAGAATTTTTTTTTCATTATGTATTTAGATAATAGAATTTTTTTTTCTTGCATAAGGACGTAACATAAAATGTTTATGAGTTATATGAAGAATTTGATTTATATACTTTGAATATCATTTGTGATGTATGACATATTTTTTGACATGAAAATACTTGGTCAAAATTTCAATTTTGTGTTGATTTTATTTTATATCGTTTGATGATATTTTTTTTTTAAACTTAAATCTTCATTCATTCATGATCAAATATTCTTTTTGGCATATCATGAAATACTTTGTGAAAAAATCCAAAAAATAGAATTATGATCACACATTGATTTCAGTTAATTAATTAAAAAGCTCAGAATAAATTTCTATATGATTAACTTCAAGAATAAAATTTTGAATCTAACTAAAATTCAAAATAATTCAATCTAAAGTTTGTATGTCAATGAAGATGTTGTCATTCCGAAATATGCAAAAACAATGATAGCTGGACAATCAGATAGACAAACATAGTACCCGCAGTCATATTGTGGTTCTCTCTTCAGAGTGCTACGTTCATAGTAAGAGCAGGCGAGAAAGATTACTATGGTGGTGAAAACCAATACTAACACAGTGGAGAGAGCTTGGGTTACATGTACCCTACATCAACAAGCAAGCTAGTTATAAATAGCTAGAATCTTGAATTATTACTCAATCAGAGTTAATCTCAACAACCATGACACTCTAAACTACTATACCTTGTAGCGAGGGGGGGGGGGGGGAGAAGCAAGATGAGCTTACAAATGTAAAATGCTCATATAAAATCTTTATTACATAAAATGTAAAATTTTCATTCTAATTTTGAAATTATATGGAGGTATCTGTAGCCAAGAGTATCATTCAATGCATGCAACAATAAGAACAAACAATAAACACAAAAAAGTACATAAAAGAAAAGAAGAACAAACATGTAGATGTTCAAACAAAAATAGTTGTAGAAAGTGATTCACTTTTTGGAGTACTATATCTACAACATGTAAGCTTTGCGTGCTTGTTAGAGTGTATCAAAAGTTCTTCAGAGTATTTTAAAAACCATGGTTATGTAACACCACGGTTTGTGTATTACTATGAAGAATCGGCGATACTCCTTGCTATAGATAGATATGATCTTAGGTTATTACTTAATCGCAATGAACTTTAGCAATTTCATCCTTAATTCATGTTAAAATAATAATAATTTTTGTACACTAGATCATTATTCCGTGAGAAGTTTTACATAGAGGTTTAATACAAAGATTCTTTATACACTAGTGTTAGTTTGGAACTAAGACATAACCATCACATGATATAGTAATAATAAAAAATACATAAGTGAAAATACTATGCTAACACACTCTAATTTTTTTTTCATGCATAATTTGCATAATCGCACAATGTCGTTTGAAACTCTCTAAAAGAATAATTTTGGTCAACATATCAGCATGATAGAG